TTACACTGACTACTGTGAAACATGGCCAGTGAGAGTAAAGGATATTCACAGGCTATTGGTTTTCGATCATAGATGTCTTCGAAGCAATGCTTGTATATCCTGAGACTATCGAGTAAGCAATACTGTTGTTAGGAACCGAGTACTAGGTAGAGATGGCTAATCAATAGATTAGGTATTAAATCGTCATCAGTTAAGATGGTTAGGACATGTGCTACTGTGGTGTTTGAATGAACTAGTAACTTCTTGTTGTTGTTGAATGCTTGATTTCGAATTCTAAATACAATACATTCGTTTGTGCATATCTTTAATTCTTGATACATATACTTCTAATTACTACACTGGCGTCGCGATGGAACTTGTAATGGAACAGCTAGATATTCATTCTACTTCTGAAGCTTTTGAAGATTATTTGGAAAGGTTTGAAATCTGGAGTATGACCAGGAAAGATATCAAAGATGATAAAATTGTGGCTCATTTCCTAACATTCATCGGAAAAGAAGCGTACAGCTTATTGAAAACCTTGGCATATCCAGAAAAACCTATTTCACTTCCCTATGCAATGCTAAAGGAGTTATTATTGAATCATGTAAAGTGCCCTGGTTTTGAATGCCGTGAAAGAGCGAAATTTCATAAGATGATTCGTCAAAATGACCAAAATGTTAAAGAATTCATTTTTGAATTGCAGAAACAGGCTGTCAAATGTAATTTTGGTGATCAACTTCATGTGCAGCTGAGAGACCGATTAATTGCAGGAATTAACATACCTAGTTTGGAAAGAGAGCTGTTAAGAATGTCAAACTGTTCCTTTCAAGATGTTAGAACTGCGTGCATTAACTACGAGGCATTGAATGAACTTGATATTCAGTCGATGAAGATTTCCAATACTTTGATTAGTTGTCATGATGAAAAACAATCTCAGGGTCAATCAAAATTGTGTTCGTTTAACAGAGGTTCCGATTCTCGTGTAAATATGAACGGTGTCTCAAAAAAGAATTACAAAGGAAATCACAAAGGTGAGACCAAGTTTGGCAAATGTTTATCATGTGGAAAACTTCATTCTCGTCATTCTTGTAAATTTCGTAATGCTAAATGTTTTAGATGTGGTAAGATAGGACACATTCAAACAGTATGCAAAGCTACTGTTCATTTTGCCTCAAGTAGTACTAAATCTTGTAATTTAGATTCCAATAATTCAGCTGATCCTAATGATCATTTATCTTTAACTACCATTTCTAAAGGTAATGCTCATATTCGAAAGCGACTATATACATCGCTTGGTTCATGTCATGACTTTATTGTGGACACAGGCAGTATAGAGTCCATCATTTCATTCAAGAACTTGAAATCGTTAGATCCGAACGTTGTGATACGACCCACTGAAGTATCAATATTGGGGATTACTGGACACAGACTGCCTATACGAGGATGTTGTGAATTGCTAATAAGAGATGATAATTCCTCATACATACCTTGTGAATTTTTAGTTAGTGAAACAGGACTGTCAATACTGGGTTTAAAGAATTTGAGAAGACTTAAAGTGGAGTTGTCTTTCCTAGTTTCTAAAGAAAATTCTGATGCTTTACTTAAAGATTTGATAGCCACGTGTGCTAAGTGCAATGGAAGTATGAAAACGGTTCAGCACAGCAGTGCCAAACAAATTCAACATGTTGACTACATTTCTCGACAGTCATTAAATGCAGATATTTGTCGTACAGCAAAGAATTGCGAAAAGTGTCATAAGCTGAAAAATCAGCATTCGAGGTTGAGTGATTCTATTGTCGCATCAACATTTAATGAGCTGGAGAGGGGAGTAGATACCTTTCTACTGCAATATAGAAATGCCAGACATTCGGTGACGAAAGAGACTCCATCAAAACTATTAAAAGGAAGAATTCTTCGGTCGAATATGAGATGTTTGGAGTCTGCAGAAGTTGCATATTATCGTGGCAATGAACTTCGACCATCCACGGGGATCGTTCAGAAGAATGTCGGGAAATCTATGGTGCGACTTCTAGATATCAATGACTTAAGTACACATAATCGACATGTTGATCAAATACAATTCCAAGAGCCAGGTGAGTCTGTTCCAATTTCGGTTGTTAATTCTAATACTAATGAGAGCATTCTAGATAATACAGAGTCTTTATCCAATACACTGTCGGACAGACACAGGATGAATTTGAGAAGAAGACGTACCACTGATTACAGACATATACATTCCAATTTAAGCTGTGGCGGATGTGGTGTTTGAATGAACTAGTAACTTCTTGTTGTTGTTGAATGCTTGATTTCGAATTCTAAATACAATACATTCGTTTGTGTATATCTTTAATTCTTGATTCATATACTTCTAAGCATCACAGCTACCTATGCCTAACCACTGACTGCCTCGACGAGCTATGTTTTATGATGTAGGGGTAGGCTGGAAGCTAGTGGCGACCAAACCAAAACATGGCAGAAATCCATAAAGTCACTGACAAGTGAGCTGAGCCGTATTGGTAGATGTAGGCTACCTGGTTGGGGTCTGCGATTCAACAGTAACCGATAGTTAGAGACCTTGAACGACATGACTCAAAACGGTTCGCAATGGCGCAGGTGTATCCGCTCTTTGTGTTCTCGCAAATTCTAATCTTCTGAATTCCTCATGACTTCTTTCTCTTCTTAAATTTATCTCACTAGATTATTTCATCTTCAAACCCTAATCTTTCCGAATACCGCTAATACTTCTACTACACCTACCAATATGGGATTAGAATCAATAATCTTACCTCTGTGCTAATGTAGTATTGCAACTCGTACTGATGTACATATGAACAAAGTTCTGCTGACTGACTGAAATATGACAAGAGTATTTATAGTGATGAACAATAGTTGTCATTTATCCTACCTGACTATTATGATTCTATCACTCTGAAAAGCTTTAAACAGTATAGCGCTTCCTTCAGGCACAGTGTTTGATTACGATGAGATTGACCTACAATACAGGGTTACAGATATCTCGATACATGTAATAGAACAGTAATCTTCGCGAGAAACTCATTTTTTTCTCTTAAATTCAATCGATTTTTGTTTGGCGTATCGACCTACTCCTACTTAAACAGACAGTTGATAAAGGAAGAAAATTTATTTAGATTAGAGATCACTGATGTGTTGCCTTGTGTTTCCTATCTATTCCAGTAGCCCTTCAATCTAGGTCATTCAGCAAAAAAATCAATTTACTTTACTATTTTCGTTACACAGAATGATATCTACCATTAACAAGTAGTTGAATCATTTTTAAAGTCTGTATATTGCAACGGGTGCATGCGAGAGCACATCAAAGTTGATTTCTCATGTTCTAAGAAGTACTGAAACTTAAGTAGTAAGAGATTCATAAAATCTTTTTTTGTTTGAAAACTTTATCTTTATCTCAGTACACATTTAATAATCATACAATTAATTGTAAATTATCGACAAATCACGTTTAGCGAATTGAGTAGTTGTCATTATGCCCAATCGTAAAATCTTAACTCTTGAAGTTCATTTACTTCCATAGAATGTTTCACTTAGTTTAACCATTCAACTGAATAGATTTGTCAAAGACTATTCATGTCTGAAGTTAGTGAATTGAATGAGAAGCATTTGAAGTATTGAAAAAAATGAAGGTAGAACATACATACATAATAATATTCAACGCAATATGTTTTATAGTACAGCTTGATGAATCACTTATGTAGTTACAGATAAAACTAGCGCCATTTTCATATCCACTCAGTGTATACTGCTAGTGACTACTGATAATGAGAAGTTACAGTAAGCCGTAACTTCGATCACGATCAATATTCTTTACTATTGAAATGGTATACATTGAGTGTAGGTAGACATGTGATATATTTGGTTTTGATCCAACCTAATATTGTTCAAAATGCAACTGAAACTCTTTAATGTAAGAGTGCATCAAAATAACAACACATTTTCCACTGAACGACTGAATTCAACTAACCAAAAAATAATATAGAATATGGTTGTGGTGTACGACGCTACTTATGTTCATATATGTAGTATATTATATCAATTGGAAATCAAACGTCTGACAGAAAAAGATCGAGAAGGAAAGAATGAGAACAGAAGGCGATTTGCAGGTAACGTAAAGTGAACTGAAGTCTGAACAGTCTAAATGAAAGAACACTGAAATCTGAGACAAATAAGGATTAGTTTGCAAATGATGATTTCACGGAAAGGTTTTGTATATATGCTTAACAACTCTGTAATATTCGCATAAGTATAGATGTTGATGTCCTCACCTGAGTTTTCGTGTACAACATGGTTAGTGGTGGAATCCAGGACGAGCATTTCCGCTGCTAACCACACGTTCTCCTTAAACTTATGCCGTAATGGCTGTATCAAGGCCAACCGTATTAGGATGTCCATATTACCAACCAACCACCACGAAATCAACTTTCAATCAAAGCATCAACAACAAGATAATCCAAATCATTTCCAATTGAATTACATACCAATTAGTTCAACAAGTATGAAGTTCAATAATAAAAAGAAACAGTTTGAATTTCTGTGTTGTCAATAATTAAAGACTGTAATTGATCAGATCTCGTTTTCTTTCTCATATGATTAATTTATTTCAATAGTATATACCATTGTAAATGTTGATCTTATTATATTCATGAAAGATGGAATATATTTCTTCATTTGTAACGAAATATATTTTTTTTCAGCAAATAAATAGTTAGATCTTGTAGTGGAATACTTCTACGAAGAAAACGCAGTTGGTGAATAGGAAACATTGATTATTGTACTCCTTTTGTTTAACTGTACTAAAAAACACTTACTGATGCGCAACTTTCTGTTATTTGTAAGATAGAGAGAGAGAGAGAGAGTGAGTGTAGTTTCAGCATAGAAATCATTTAAATTACTGAATATTATCTTTTGTTAGTATTTCACACATTAGATATTCTTTTTTTGGCCGTAATCGTTAAAACTTTTCGGTTATGAATTAAATGTTCCTTTTATTGTACTATGAAGTGTCAAATGAAATAGCATACAGTTATATTCATGTTTATTGTTGAAAAATGCCATACTCAAAATGTACCAAGGTAATTTTGTATCAAATCATATCAAAAATGAAAGTTTTCTAATGATCACTTTTGTTCGACATTATTTACAACAACAACAACAACAAAATAATAATAAATATCGACAAAATAACTAGCTGATGTATTTACAAAGTATCAATAACAATAAAATGTATCATGATTAATAAATTCTTTTGGTTTGAATAGAACTCGGTGATTCAATACGGTTCAGTAAAGAAGTTGAGGCTATTTCCATCTCTTCTAATTGATCGGTTAAACCTTCAGCTAACTTTCTAGGAGATAATATCACAATTTCCTTGTTAGTATTATCGTTGTCACCATAATTTAATAGGTCAGAAAGTAGACTAGCTGGAGGATACTCACCGCCGTGACATAATAATTTTTCCATATAAATCTATAATAGGGAATGTAAAGAAAATTACAAGCCATTGGTAAGATCAGATTTAGCAAAAAGATTTTATTGCCTATAAATTATACTACTGAATTAAATAAGTAGTTGAAACTACTCACCACAATAATCAGAAGCGATTTGTAGATAGATTAAGGAAAACAAAATAAGCAATCCATTTTAAAAGCTTCGGATCGACATGTATTCAAGCATCGATAACGTGTAGAAATAGCGATCAATAAGAAGATATAGCCTCCATATAATCATGTTAGTATCACACTACAACTTTAAAAAAGTGTACGGCTTTGTCAAACATACTGGTTATTAGCGAAGATGAACTGAAAGATACGCTCAACTAAGCACACACAAAAACGATTATTTAGGAAAGATCAGAGGGGATAAAAATATCAATGCAATAAAGAAAATGGGTTAAAATACCGAATAAATATGTAGTACATTATACAAGAGAGAAGCTATATGAGTTGTAAGTTCTTAAATAGTGGACAAAAACATCGACCATTAAATAGTGATAAGTAGCATGATGTAACAAACACAAAAGGAAATAACTGAACAGTATTAAGACTCTTTTATTTATTACAATTTAAATTTGGTTCAAAAAGGTGCCTTTATGAATCGAATTTACCGATTCTAAAATATTAAAAATATTACACTCTTCTCTCTCTCTCTCTATGAACCACTGATACTAAACAGACATTCATCACGGTCGACAAATCAATGTGAAAATAGTGTCAAATCAAAACTTTTATGCTTTTAAAATATTTCAAAGAAACCGATTAATCTATTTATTATCACGATGAAAACTACCAGATACTTTTTACAGCAAAAAAAAATTGTCATGTGTTTCTAATTGTGAAGTTAAATAATTCAAAGAAATTTACTTGTCCACTTGAAGAACACCAAGGATCATTCGAGAAATACCGCCTCCAAACAAGATCAGCTCCAGCTTTTGCCATTAAATAAGCATAATAACGTCCACCATAATTGACTAGATGACTGAAACGATGAGTCCATGCACCTAGGTGAGGAGGTGAACAATTGGACCAATCAGATAATCCAGCTTTGCATTGAATATCTGACAATAATTCAGTGGATGCAGGCCATAATCCACTTGATTTATGAGTTAATTTTGCATAAGGCAGTAAAGTAGTTTCAGTAGAACCTGAATGCAAAACTTGATCCAGAATGGCATAAGTCGCCTGAATGAGTGCATAAATCCAAAAAAAAAATCGACAGTTACCAAAAACTGACTGATTTAGTCAAAAAATGTTAATTTTTCTACGGTTCAGTCAACAGATAATTTGAAATAAAGGGATTGCATAATTTCAAGAATACTTTTAAACAACCAGTCTCATTGCTTAGATAACACACAATGATCATTTTTATACGTTGTGTTCGCCAACTGATTACCCTATATTTTTGTTCGTATGTTGTATGACTTGCAAGCAATGAGAATCCATGTTTCGCTAACTCTGAGACTATTTTATACCATAAGGAAGTTTTATGTATATATTGACTTGTTTAATACAACTCATTTACTGTGTGTAGACGGTTTCGAGCTATATTGTTGATACTACCTAGTTGGATAAATCGAACTATGATTAAACCGGTGAGTTGTAGGATGATATTAAAGTTTTTTAACTACCAAACCATATGTCTTATTAACTTTTCTAATCGTTGACGTATGACCTAGACAGTCATGATATCTAAGTAACCTCATTTGGTCACTTCTATCTTGCTCACTATATTACAAACTAATTTTTATTTTATTTTATTTTTACTAAGCTATTCCGATATACCACCATCATCTCAAATCATGCAACTGAGTCTCAAAATTAGGAAATACTAGGCTGGCCTGGCATAGACATATCACATACCCGTGCTTATATACATAAACACCAATATTTATCAATCATAGCTTCTAAGTTATTTCTCAATCTTTTCACCCACACATCTTGTTGAGTAAGCAATTCAAAAGTATGTGTTTGTGTGTAGATCGGATATCGTGGGTGATTGAAATACTTAAATCAACGACATTACATATTATTACAAAAGTACAAACCTGTTGGCTAACTTCTAAACTTTGACCAAGTCCTCGACCAATAGATAATTGTTGTAATGCTATTAGTTCATTAGGATCTGGTTTTTGACCTGTTTTCCAATGTCGAGCATATTCTAATACAACACGTGGATCTAATGCAAAGTGTTCAAATAAAGTTGATGGCAATTCAGCTAGATCAGTACTACACCTTTAACATAATAATAATAACAATAATAATTTGTTTATTAATTGTAATATAATTTAATTATTATTTAAACAAGATAAAAATGATAATATTTTTGTTTTCTTTAATATTTTGATATTATTCCTGCTTGCTCAAAAAATCACTAATAAACTTATTCTGAATAAATGGAAATAAGTTATTAGTGAATAAACCGGAAATTATTTCATTTTCATGTGTATAAACTTTATGAAATGACTAAGCACATTATAATGTTTAATGCATAATATAACTAGTAATGATTACTGTTGACCAATAAAAAAAATCTACGTAGTATTGAATAATGTAAAAATATCTTATTGACTTAAGCTTCGAATTCTGTAAAAACGTATCGTACCACAATACGTTCGTGTTTTTATTGTAATTTGTGTTTCATAATCATAGAGAGAATAAATACTGATCGGCGGAATTTTCCAGTCAATTCTTTTTTTTCATTGAAATTATGAATCAATCAATGTTAGATCACCTCATGGACCTGGAAGAACTAGGCGGGAGTTTCATCCTAGTGTGAAACTTATCAGCATTGTACGTCTCAAGCCCCGCAAACGGGAATCGGACCCGGGACCTTCGGTGTCTCACGCGAACCCTTAACCTCTAGGCCACTGAACTAGTGTCCAATAGTTTTGATGTTTAACTTCCATCTATCCACGGTTTCGCACTCACCGGTGACTAGCTTCGTGAGGAACTTCTCGGAGCACTAGTGAAAAGACATAACCAGTGGACTTCAACCATGTCAGGTGTTAGATGGTTACCCAACGAAAAAATGGATGAGGTCGCGCTATATGGTGGATTGATTGAAGTTAGACATTAACACTGTTAGATGCTGGATCAGGAGTCCCACACTAGGAAAAAATGGCCGTCCTGAGCTTTTAGGTTTCCGAGGTGGTCTAACAATGACCGATTCATGATTTCGATGAAGCTCAAAAATCTTCACAACTTAAAATATTTTTTTCCAAGTTTAGGGTCTACACGGAGTTGTTTCTTTGAAATACTAATACAAAAGTCTTTGAAAATAAACGACTGTCTTTTACACTTCATCATGTTAACAACAATAATTACTTAATACTGTATAGATTCTATGGATTTAGACAAGATAGAGCAATGTAATGAAAATGCATTCATTTAACTGGTTATATTAATCACCTTAAATAGTCAATAGTTTTTACGATCCTGAGAACCTACTTAAAAAATATAAGTAGTCAGTGTTTCACTAACAGTATGCTGTCACAAACCATTGAATTTACGTGAGCTGCAAAACTACTCAGATACCCAAACCAGAATAGGTAGTCTGTTTATGGGGTCGCTCACCAAGCCTTTGACCTGGAGGTCTAATCTATGAGGCAGTGGATAAAAGTAACGAGACACAACCTTATGATACCAGAACATTCGCTCCACTAGAAATCCTGGAGCCCGTCGTGGTTAGTGGTGGTATTTAGGTATACGTAACACAAGTCCCAACCATTTCAGTTGATTCCGATGTTCATTTGAGTTATGAAACAAGTCACTAATAGTATTAATATATACAGCTAGTTTGTAAAGGGAGACGGAGGAAAAGGCTGCAATAGAAGGAAACTTGAGACAACTATATGATACAACGAAGAAGCTCGCTGGAAACTATCGTAAACCAGAACGACCAGTGTAGAACAAGGAAGGAAAAGTAATCAAAAACATTGAAAAAAAGCGAAACAGGTGGGTAGATCACTTTGAGGAAATCTTCAATAGATCAGTCCCATTGAACCCGCCCAACATTGAAGCAGCATCAACGGACCTCCCAATCGATGTTGGCCCATCAACAATGGAAGAGATTAACATTCCTATCAGACAAATCAACAGCGGTAAAGCAGCAGGACCAGACAACATTCCAGCTGAGGCAGTGAAAGCAAACGTGGAAGCAACTGCAAAAATATTCCACATTCTCTTCAACAAGATTTTGGACGAGGAACAAGTATCAACACACTGGAAAGAAGGATACCTCATCAAAATACCAAAGAAAGGCGATCTCAGCAATTGTGAGAACTACAGAGGCATCACTCTTCTCTCACTACATGACAAAGTCTTCAACAGCGTGTTTTCAAACAGAATGAATTACTCCGTAGATGCCCAACTTCGAAATCTACAGGCTGGATTCCGTAGGAATCGATCGTGTACCGACCAAATTGCAACATTACGGATCATTGTGGAACAATCAGTTGAGTGGAACTCACTACTCTATATCAGCTTCACTGTGATGATGGATTAAACTGCAAAATCTTGCATGGAGAACAGCTCACAAATTTGTTTAAAGTGAAGACCGGTGTCAAGCAAGGTTGATTACTCGCTCTTTTTCTTTACCCTGATGATCGGCTGGATTATATTGGACAACTAGGATGCAGCTGGACGATCTGGCTCTTCTATCTCACACGCAACAACAAATGCAGAAGAGGACGACCAGTGTAGCCACCGTCTCAACATACAAAAGGAGAATAGCAAGATTCTACGATACAACACAACATGCGTCAACCAAATCACTCTTGAAGACGCCTGGAAGGACGTAAACCCCTTTACGTATCTAGGCAGCATCATTGACGGGCAAGGTGGATTTGATGCAGATGTGAAGGAGCGGATCGGAAAAGCGAGGGCTGCTTTCTACAATTGAAGAACATATGGAAATTAAAACAAATGTCAGCAAACACCAAAGTCACGATTTTCAATACAAATGTCAAGACAGATTTACTGTATGGGGCGGAAACTTGGAAAACTACGAAAGCCATCATTCAGAAGATACAAGTATTCACTAACAGTTGTCCGCGCAAAATACTTCGGATCCGTTGGCCAGACAGCATCAGCAAAAATGTACTGTAGGAGAGGACAAATCAGATTCCAGCAGACGAAGAAATCAGGGAGAGGCGCTGGAAGTAAATAGGACACACATTGATCAAATCACCCTTTGGTGTCACAAGACAAGCCCTAACTTTGAATCCTCAAGGCTAAATGAAAAGAGGAGGACCAAAATACACATTACACCGAGAAATGGAGACAGCGAGAACTAAAAAGGAAGGCCCAGGACAGCGTAGGTTGGAGAGTGCTGGTTGGAGGCCTATGCTCCGTTAGGGGTAGCACTTGAAAGTAGTTAAGTAAGTAATTAAGTCTGTAAAGAGGATATATATGCATACTTACCGTGTCCCAGTAACATGCTGATATCGTGTACGTGCAAGCATAGAATGTAATGCATGGCCCCATTCATGAAATAAATTTTCCACTTGTCCTATACTAAGAAGTGGTGGTGTAGAATTTGATTCAGACGGAGATAGCGTCAGTTGGAGTGTAATGATCGGCGATTGATATGATCGACTGTTAGAACCATTGTCAAGGCGTCGACCACCACGTATAGTGTAATGACAATCCTGGTGAATAAAGAAATAAAATAAAATGATACAATCAGGATAACACTTTTTGCAGTCGATATTCGATATAATTCATAAACTTCGTATATTGCTCGTTCTGATAACCGTTACTAGATAACGCTAAACGGTGTATACTTTTCAGAAGACGAATATAAAGTGTCCACGCCGCTTATTATAACACAACACACAGCAAAAAATATGGGCATACGGAGAGAAAGCGAAATTATAAGAGAACGCCGAGGAGATAATGAATAGGATTAAAATGTACACATATATAAAGGAAAAACAAATGAGTCACCGAAATATTAAGCGACTAACATTAAACCTAGTAGAATATGTGAGTAGGCTGAAACCGATGATCAAGCATACATGCCCATACAGATGCAACAGTAGTAAAAGTACAAAGGTATAGACAAGTTGCTGTTGTTGTTCGAATGATGCTGTCTTTTTAGTGCTAATTTTCCTTCGGATTGTTGTTTCCCAAAGATCAAAATAATCAAAACATGAAATAGATCTAGGAAGTAAACCAAGACAGAAAAAAACATGGTTGCTAATATTAAAAAAAGTATAACATTTTAAAACTTTATAAAAGCAGATTTTTTTTGATAATAAAAAGAACAAATGGGTTTACTTGAGGAGGTTTACCAGGACGATCAAGCAAATCACAATAGACTATTCCAATTGGTTCGATTGAGTTATTTTTATTTGAATAGACATGAACTTTAATAACAGATGGATGCCATATTTCCCCGGGTTGTACTGGTGCAACTTCTAAACGTAATCCAAATAGACAATTAGCCAATTGACTTACGCCTTCCATACATGCACCCAATGAAAAATAATCTGTTAAATGCTATAAAACAACAAAGTAAAAGAGAAGAAATAGAAAGAAATAACTTATGTATATATTGCAACAACTAAATGAAACCTCATTAAACTGGATTACTGTTGTTCTTAGTGACCTGTGAGTGTGACCGAAAACCCACGGAAAAAATGCTTAAAGCTGGCCAAGTACGACTATTTTATGGGAAGTTTCAAATACGTTATATCAGGACATCGAAATACATTACCTCTAGAGACAGAAATCTGTTGGGTAAGGTCGGTCAGTTAGTCATCTACAACGAAGAACTTCGTACGTTCGTACATCAGTTCAAGTTGCCGTACCATATTAGCACACATATATGAAATTGCCAATTCCTATCCCATAGTGGTAGCATACAGTAGACGCATTAGAGGTAATGGAGAAGATTAGGGTTCGAAGATATTATTCAAAAAGTATAATCAGTGAACTCAATTTAAAAAAATGAGAAAGATTAAGGTGATGAGGAATTCAGATTAGAATTCGGGAGAACACAATGAATGAATGCACCTACGACATTGCAAACGATTCTGAGTCATATCATTCAAGGTCTCTAACCATTGGTGACCTTCGTCTCGCGGACCCTAACAAGGTAATGTACATCTACCAGCATTCGTTACACATTCCAAACCACCTCAACTGGTGAAGTCTCAATCCTTCATCTTTTGATCTGCCATCCCTACCTCGTACTCGTTTCCGAACAACAGAATTGGTTACTCGGCTGTCCCAGAATATACGAGCAATGCTTCGAAGATACCTATGATCAAATACTAGTAACCTACGAATATTCTCTACTCTTAGTGGCCATGTTTCACAGCCGTAAAGTAGGACGAAACGAACTGCTGGGGAGTAAACCCGTCCTTTGGTTAGCAATCGGATATCTCGCCGACGCAATAAGTGATGCAAGTTAGTAGGTTAAGATCTCAGACATACTGATTGAAAGGTAAGTGTTCTCACCTCTAAGCCATCACTTTACATGTACAATTAAAGGTAGGAAACAGAGTGGTGGATTAGTAGTTACGGTGTTTGACTATTAGCTAATAAGTTGTAGGCCTGGACTCTGTTCCATCTACTCGAGTTTGTGCTACTTATACAGGCAGACATAAGTGATATATGACGGGAATAAGTAGTAAAACTCTCATTGGCAGGAGAGAGAAATGAAGAGAAAGAAAAATAATGAGTAATCTGAGTAAAAACAACAATGAGTGGACAGTGGAGATGATAGAGGTCAACTAAAAGAGGATGTCCAAATGGTACATTTCATGTATTCTTCCTTGTTTGCTCAGGTCTTCGTCCTTTACAGTATCATTAGCCTTTACACTTAGTGTAGTTAGAAGCTAAGTAAACAGACCTATGCTTGGTTAGTCAGTTAGTAATAATAATGTTTGAAAAATTCCTATCATCTATGTTTCAATGATAATAATACTAATAATAATAATAATAATAATAAGTTTTTCTAGGAAAGATTAATTGTAATAAGCATGTGAACAAAAACTATAATTAATGGTTAAAAATATAAGTTTAAAATTAGAAATAAAATGAATCTATATCACAGACTATACTTTTGTTGAATGATATTTATAATATGTAATTTAGTTAATAAAAGCTTATTTTTTTTCATCATCACTTACATGACTACATAATGTTTGGCGTTTAATTCCAAGTGCATAGGATAAATCACTAGGCGAAATTAAATTTGCATTACGATCTAGTTGTAAATTAAGAATCTCTGATTTTTGATTAAAGTTTCTTACAATTGGTAATAAATGCTTTTTTACTATATTAGTTGAAATAGGACGAAGTTTTTGACATACATGCTGAAGGAATTCATCAACATTTTCAGGTGTTTCAGCTAAACTATAAAGTGTAGCACGCTGAGCGTAATTTTCAAAGCCAGCCGCTCTGAAACATGATCACAGTAGATAACAGAAGGAATATAGTAAATTAATAATTCTATGCATAATAGTATTATTATTAAGAGAGATCTATGAAAACTTTTAATACTTGAAGTGATCAACATTAAGAATAATTGTAACACTAGATGAACTTGTATTTCCAAACGATTGGTCACTACTATTGAGCAGTGACTGACGTCATGGTTGTTTAATCTTTTAGTTTATCATTTTTATGAAGATTAGAAAACACTTAGCTGCCAAATGCCAGCTAAAGTAAAGCCTAAGTCAAGGGTTCCTGATAACTGCCTTCAACTATCTAACATCTGAAAGTGTGTTTCATTTGTAATGAAACGGTAGCATAACAGAACCGAGAGTTTGAACAGTATTTCTTTTCGAACATAAACTTAGATGTTTAATCGATTAGTATTTACGTGTGAAATTAAGAAAGAAAGATAAATGTGTAAGAGCAATATTTTAACATTTATTTCGTTAAGCACAGTAATGATTATTTTAAAGGCTGATTGAAAGTTTTCGCTCTCCACATTCTTGTTTAACTTTGTCGTAGATACGCTCCTAGAGTTAACATTACCATTTGTATAGAAAGAAATCCTGTATAAAATCTGAGCAACACAATGACAATGAAAAAATTTTAAACATCAGAGAAATACAATTGACGATTGCAAGAAATTTATTCTACAATGATTACACCATTGTCAGTTATTCATAAATGCATAATCAAAAACTGTACAGTTCTATTTTTTCCGTGTATAGAGAATTTCGACAGAGGATAGGTAGATGAGCAAAATCAAACATATTTTTCTCTATAGTCTGGAATCAAGATCGCTCTATATAATAAGAATGATCTTAAACCCAGGTTTAATAACTTTTTTTTTGTCGACATAATTATTCTTTCTTTTACCTCTCGTTCTGTTAAGACTCGGGCCATTTTGAAAAAGGATGGCAACATTCTACTTTGACCAACTCCTATTATATACAAACATAGAAACAGTTCTGCAGTACAAACCTGAAGCTTGGAGAACTACTATACGCATCATCAAAAGAATACAAGTAATTCTAAACATTTGTTTAGATAAGATACTTCATATCCGTTGACTAGACGCCATCAACAATAACTCACTGTGACAGAGAACGAACTAACTTGTAGCTCAAGAGGAAATTAAGCGAATTCGCTTAGGTGGATAGGATAAACACTGCGGAAATCATCAAACTGTATTACAGATCAAACCCTAACTTAGGAAGGTAAAAGGAAAAGAAGGAGACCAAAAAACACATCGCCCCGGAAACAGGAAGCATATATCAATAGAACGAATAGGACTTGGCAACAGTCAAAAAGGAGAACCCAAGACAAAGTAGGTTGGAGATTCCTGATTGGCAGCCTGTGCTTCACAAAATGCAACATACGTAAGGAAGTGATATATATATATATATATATATATATATATATAGACAAGTTTAATTAACAACTTACTGTGCCATTTCATGCCTTGCATTTAAAAGTTGTTCTAAACACTTTTCTTGACCTTCAATTGGTGCATAATATGCATAATAGGTGGCTAAACGTACAGAAGGATCTGGATGATCACTGAGTGGATGAACAAGTTCAATTGAGTTTGAATGACTCTTTGTTATAAAGTTCGATGGAAAAGTTACTGTACTATGGCAACCCTATGTAATGTGTAATAGTATATCATAAGAAAAAGCGACAAGTAGAATTTAATGATTAAAGAAATATTTATTATACGCACAATAAAATAATAAATTTAAGGATGACAGTGTCACATCATATTATACCACAATATGCATTTAAGCTGACTGTACTGAAGTCGAACTCAACTAGCATATTTGTCTTCAATTGGTAAGCTTATTTTAATACCGGTTAACTATAGGACTGTACAGACAAATCATTTACTGTTTGGCAATGATGTAGTGATTTGTTCAAGTCACTCTAGTTTAATATAGTCAAAATATATAAGTACCTTTGGTAAATATACACATATTAGCAGACCGATTGCACGATGGGAACTATCAAGACTCATTAGATAACTCTACGTGTGAGGTGATGGGTACTAGGAAAACCAATAGAGATATAAGTATATCGAACTAAGTAGTCAGAAAAAAGGTTAAATGTGCCCATTAAATTACATCAACAACCACTATCTGAGATAAAATCAGCTTTTAAACTCAGAGAATATCAAGCCATCCCATTTAGGGAAGTTATATGCCAACGGAGACATCGATTCTGTTCTTCATCATATCAATTAAACAAGAAACAAAAACGCTTCAACTAAAATTCAGACAGTCAACCATTATCAACACAGGACCTAGAGCAAGTGTAGATTGATCCAATTTGTCATACTTCATTTAAACAAAGAGAGGAGGTGAAAAGCATTGCACTGGAAGATAATATCAAAGGTAATCACTACTCTGATCGACTCTGTACTGTCACCCTACAACGAACAGTAATGCAGCTATAACAAAAATATATCCCAAGAGCTACGCGCAGTTTCATATACTGCACTATGAAATCCAACCAGTAAATTGGCAAGTGATGCTACTAAGTGAGTTAACCTTTAAAACTGCGATCCATTGGCCGAATAGCTGCATAAAGTAGCCACAACTTTACAACAAAAACAATAACAATAGTAGTATTGACAGCAAGTATAATAAAGCACTGTTAACAAATAAGACAGTTAATTTTCGGAAAATGCATATGATACAACACGAAGATAATTATGAACTATATTCAGTTATATGGACGCGAAATATATAAGTAGTAGATGGCTATTCAACTTCGATGCTGAACATGTTTTATCTGATATTTACGCTAAACCTGACAAAAATATTGAATCCAAAACCATAAGTGATAGAAAGCAGTTTTATTTCTTAAAAAGAAATCACTGTTAATGTAAGTGTAAAGACTATGAGAGTCAGGAAAAGCAAAAATTTCAAAAACTAGTCAGCCAATCTCTTCCCCTTAAAAAATGCTTCAGTCAAAAAACAAATATAATGCTTACTTGAATAAATTTAGCTCCATAATTTAAAGCAAGTGAAGCGGTACGTACAAATTGTTCATGTCGACAAGGATCCTGCAGTTGTACACCAGATAGTTCAAAATCAGCCACAAATAAATCGAGTACACGCTTATCAATACTATCCATATGTGTATCTGGAATTAATTTATCCACTTGAGATGAGCTGTTTGCGCGTACAGAGGCGTTATATAATTCTGAATTAGTATTTAACTCTTCAACAAGTTGACCAATTGATTGACATGCTTTTAGAGCAGAATAGCGATATACTTCATCTGGATGAAGCATTCGTATACAATCAGATAAATCAGCGACTCGACACAATGTATCTGATAGGTCGTCTAATATCTGTGATAAGTAGATAAATAAAGTTAAAGTAGTGAAATTAAGTTTAGCAATAGTAATACATGAATATGATGATTAAAATATGATAAAAACAACTGTTTCACTAACCAGAATGATTATTACATCTGTGAAACTCTTTAGATAATCATACATATTTTACGAAAAAAGAAAATAAATAAATGTAAACACATAAAAAATAAAGTAAAGTATGCATCGAAAAGCTTAATTGTTCAATTATAGTTTAACATATCCTAGCACAAGTCGATTAAAACAAAACAAAGAATCGATACGTTCAGTTAATTACTCTAAAAGGTAGCATGAGAAATCAGTCATTCGGTTACATCATTTCAAGTTTCCATACCACATCAGCACACATATGCAATTGTCAATTTCTATCCTATAGTGGTAGCATAAAGTAGACGTATTAGAGGTAATGGAGAAGATTAGGGTTCGAAGTTATTATTCAAAAAGTATAATCCGGTGAAATAAATTTAAAAAAAGAGAAAGATAAAGGTGATGAAGAATTCAGAAGATTAGGATTTCATAGAACACAAAGAGTAAATGCACCTACGCCATTGCGAGCCATTTTGAGTCGTTTCACTCGAGGTCTCTAACCATCGATTATTATCATTTCGCGGACCCCGACCAGGTAGTCTACATCTACCAACATGACTCAGTCCACTTCTCAGTGACTTCATGGATTTCTGCCATGTTTTGTCTGGCCGCAACTAGCTTTCGTCCAAGTTATTCCTATATCGCAAAACATAGCTCGACGAGGCAGTCGATGGTTATGCATACGTAACACATGACCCTACTTCATCTATTGATCTACCATCCTTACCTAGCACCCGTTTCCTAACGACACCATTGCTTACTCGGCTGTCCCACGATACTCGAACAATGCTTCGGAGACACCTATGGTCGATTACTAGTAACCTACGAATATCTTCAACTATCACTGGCCATGTTTCACAGCCATAAAGTAGGACGGAGCGAACCACTACACAGTATACTCGCCCTTTGGTTAGCTAATGGATATCTCGCCTGCGCCATAAGTGATGCAGGTTGGCAAAAGCCAATCGAGCTTTTCGTCTCCGTGCTGAGATTTCGTCAGTCACCAGGCCATGAGCACTGATGAGACTCCCGAGATAAACGAAGCGGTCTACACGCTCGACTACTTCACTCCATATCACTAGTTCAGGCGCCGATACAAGCCAGTCTTGAAACCACATTTTGAATTTCGGGGGGTGGGAAACCGCATCCCGATCATGCTTGCATTGTTACTCAAGGTAATCAGAAGACTCTGCATCTTGTCAGCGTCTTCACTGAATAAAACTATGTCATCGGCAAAGTCAATAAGCGAGCCTCCTGGTAGAAGGTCTACTCCTGAAAATTCAGAATATTATGGATCTTAAACTTCACATATAATTAATGTGTCATCTACATATCTCCTATAGTTCAGTCACTCAGTTGCAACGTAGAACTTCGTACGTATGTACATAAGTTCATGTTACCATACCACAGCACAGAGAAGCAAATGTCAAATCAAATCCCATAGTGATAAAGATAGTAGAGATATTAATGTTAATAAAGAAGACTAGGGTTTGAAGATATTATTCAAGAAATATAATTCAGTGAGATAAGGTTAGAAAGACAAAGGTAGAGGTGCTGACGAATCAAGAAGATTAGGATTTGAGAGAGCTCAAAGAATGGATGCAAACGATTCTGAGCCATGTCGTTCAAGGTCTCTAACCATTGATGACTTTCGTCTCGCGGACCCCAACCAGGTAGTCTACATCTACCAACATGACTCAGTCCACTTCTCAGTGACTTCATGGATTTCTGCCATGTTTTGGTCTGACCGCCCCTAACTTTCTTCCAACCTACTCCTACACTACAAAACATAGCTCGTCGAGGCAGTCGGTGGGTAGGCATACGTAACACATGTCCCAACCACCTCAACTGATGAAGTTTCATAACTTCATCTATTGATCTGCCATCCTTACCTAGTACTTGTTTCCTAGCGACAGCATTGCTTACTCGGCTGTCCCACGATATACGAGCAATGCTTCTTAAAAATCTATGATCGAATACTAGTAACCTACGAACATCTTCTACCCTTAACGGCCATGTATCGCAGCCATATAGGAGAACGGAGCGAACTGCTGCGCAGTACACTTGACCTTTGGTTAGCGAACGGATATCACGCCTACGCCATAAGTGATGCAGGTTGGCAAAAGCCAATCGAGCCTTCTGTATCCGAGCTGAGATTTCGTCAGTCAGCAGGCCGTCAGCACCGATGAGACTTCCCAGATAAGTGAAGTGATCAACACGCTCGACTACTTCACTCCATATCACTAGTTCAGGTGCCGATGAAACCCAGTCTTGAAGCAACATTTTGCATTTCGAGGGGGAAAACCGCATCCTGAACATGCTCGCATTGTTGCTTATGGAAGTCAGAAGACTCTGCATCTTGTCAGCGTCTTCACCGAATAGAACTATGTCATCGGTATATTCTAGATCAGTAAGCGATTTTCCTGGTAGAAGGTCAGCCCTGAAAAATCTGACGAGGATAATGTTAACTCTAAGAGGATGTTTACGACAAAGTTAAACAAGAATGGAGAGAGTGCATAGCCCTGACGGACACCACTTGATGTAGAGAATTCAGATGACAGTTCGCCATATGCTCTCACCCGACCAGTGGTGTTCGAGTAGAGTGCTTGTATAAGGTTATTGTACTTCTATGGTACACCTTTCAGTAACAGACACTGCCACAGAACCTCACGATCCATTGAGTCAAATGCCGCCTTAAGGTCCAGGAAGACAACTATTGTAGGACGTCTAAATGTGTGTCTGTGTTCCAGGACCTGTCGTAGTGTGAAGATGTGGTCTATACAACCACGTCCAGGTCGAAAACCATCCTCATTTCCTGTAATCTTCTCTTCACGAGCTCTAGTTAGACGTCTAAGTATAATCGAGGCTAACAATTTAGAAACTATATTAGTTAAACTTATTCCCCTGTGATTGTCACAAGAGGACTCTTGTCCTTTCTTATAAATTGGGACAATTAGCGACTGAGACCACTCGGATGGGATTACGTCCAGTTCCCAGATTCTACCTATGATCTCGTTCAGTCTAACCGTTAAAACTGGACCACCAACCTTAAACATCTCAGGGGTAAGCCTATCGGGACCTGCCGCTCTACCTCCCCTTAGATTTCCTATAGCTTTCTCAGCTTCATGTAAACTGGGAGGACTTAAATCGATTGGCAATTCAGGTTGACTGGAGATCGTGGGCAACGGAAGTGCGGCTCGAGGCCAGTTGAACTGATCCCTAAAGTGTTCTGCCCATCGGTCCAGCCTCCTAGATTGAGAATGGATAATAAGACCATCCTTTTCCGAGATAGTCTCACTCACATTCGGGTTCCTAATACCGGTTTCTTTAATAAGGCGGAAAAGTTGTCTAGTGTTGCCTATCGCCGCTGCCTTTTCTATCGCTTTTGCTTTTGCCACCCACCACTGTTCACGGTCGTTACGTAGGCTTTTTATAAGTCTGCGCCTAAGCTGACTACGCTCTTCATCATGTTCAGAGTCAGGTGGGATGCGTTTTCGCGCATCCATCAGTTCGGTGGATGCTACTGAAATCCACTGCTTCATCCTAGCATTGTGGTTTACCTTGCTAGCAGATACCATTGCTGTTTCCACAGCCTTTTTGATATCATTCCAACCTGCTTCCGGATGAGAATCACTTGCACGGTCGCCTAACTGTTTTTCTATTTCCTCCTGAAACATTTTCTTAGCTTGATTATCATCAAGTAAAGCCCTAAGAGGCTTCCTTACGGTGTCTTTCTTATGCCCAGTAAGCTTCAAACAAATACGTGCTCGCACTAGGGCATGATCTGAATCTAAACATGTGCCCCACAACGAGCGACAGTCCTCTATCGAACCCCTCCATCGGTGGCTGATGGCGATATGATCTAGTTGTGTCCAACGTTGAGACGACTTCGGGGGTCGCCAGGTCAAAAGATGTTTTTCCTTATGCTTAAAATTAGTGTTTGCTAGAAATAGTTGGTTATCTGAGCACAGTTGCAACAGACGGTCGCCATTGTCTGTTCTTTGAGCCGTGAGACCGTAACATCCACCTAGGTGTCTTTCATTTTCACTTAGTCTACCTACTTGTGCATTGAAGTCACCAGCCATTATAACTATATCAGAGCGCTTAACTTTTTGGAGAAGGTCTGAAAGCTTTCTGTAAAACTCATCTTTTACATCATCTGGACTGCAGTCAGTGGGGGCGTAGGCTGATATGACGAAGAGGCAACGACGAGTGTCCCTATCCTTTCGAATCCTTACTGTCCCGTTCATTTGGACAGAGCAAAAACGACTATCTACTTGGATCCAGTCTGGAAGGGCTAGTTCTGTCCTACGACTCAATGCTATACCCACATCAGCGAGACCCCTGGAAGCAGCATCAGGGCTTCCAGATACATCAAGGGTGAATCGAGTTGCTTCTTTATCTTGACATAGTGAGGTCAAGTGAATGATGCTACTCGGATTCTGTATGCGCGTTTCGGAGATGCAGTATACATAGATGGCGCGAGATTCTAAAGTCCTAGCTAATGATGCCTGTTGCCCTATTTGACACAATGTCCATACATTAAAAGCTCCAGCATGTAGTCTAGAGCGGGGTTTCAGGAGACCAGAGATGACGTTTCGTGAACTCGCATCGTTTGCATTAGCTGTGCAGTGTGATAAATGAATGTGAGAAGAGTTAGTCGTGGAGATAAGAGAGGTATTAGGGGGTATAGGAAGGATTTGATTTTGAACAATTTGGTCTCGTGTGCTGTTATGGGTATGAGGGCGGTTATCACTTCCCGGCTGCCCACACCATGGAAGGTTGTTTCTTGAGGGACCTGAAAAGGAAGATAGATTAGTGTTGGTCTCGGATACCTGGTTGCGTGACCGCAGAGTCCAAGGGACAACTGCTTGAGGCAAGTCACCTACGGCCTTTTTATGAAACGTTTTTTGAGGATTAGCTCCGTTCTTAAAGACCCTTAGTGGGCACCCTTACTCAAGGAGACGGAAATGCGTGAGTTAGGGGGTGTGACATTTTTAGGGCCGACCTTTTCTAACCCTTCCTTCCTTGTGAGAAGGCAGCATCGCTGCAGATGCTGGTTATCCGAGGGAAACACTCTACTGCTGTCACACCCCTCTTCAGTCAGCAGTACGACTTCGCCCTCAGACCTTGGGTAGCTGCTTTTAGTCTCATCGTTCTCCAATCGACCTGCCTGGCATGGTAGAACCTATAGGAACATATGTTCCAGCCAATATAGCTCGGTAGGATTATCACGATAGGCAAGCCCGACCACCATGTCAATGTAACAGCTACGGCTTTGTAGGAATAAACTAGTTTCTATAGGAGATATCCCGACCGAAGCTGCTACCTTGACGGGCTTGCCTATCGTGATGACCGTCTGTTGCAACTGTGCTCAGATAACCAACTATTTCTAGCAAACACTAATTTTAAGCATAAGGAAAAACATCTTTTGACCTGGCGACCCCCGAAGTCGTCTCAACGTTGGACACAACTAGATCATATCGCCATCAGCCACCGATGGAGGGGTTCGATAGAGGACTGTCGCTCGTTGTGGGGCACATGTTTAGATTCAGATCATGCCCTAGTGCGAGCACGTATTTGTCTGAAGCTTACTGGGCATAAGAAAGACACCGCAAGAAAGCCTCTTAGGGTTTTACTTAATGATAATAAGGCGAAGAATATATTTCAGGAACAACTAGAAAGACAGTTAGGCGACCATTTAAGCGATTCCCATCCAGAAGCAGGTTGGAACGATATCAAAAAGGCTGTGGAAACAGCTGTGATATCTGCAAGTAAGGTATACAATAAGGCTAGAATGACGCCGTGCATTTCAGTAGCATCCACTGAACTGATGGATGCTCGAAAACAAATCCCACCTGGCTCTGAACAGGATGAAGAACGAAGTCAGCTTAAGCGCCGGCTGATAAAAAGCCCACGCAACGACCGTGAACAGTGGTGGGTGGCGAAGTCAAGGGAGATGGAAAAGGCGGCGGCGATAGGAAACCGGTATTAGAAATCTATCTGTTAGCGAAACTATCTCAGAAAAGGATGGTCTTATTATCCATTCTCAATCTAGGAGGCTGGACCGATGGGCAGAACACTTTAGGGATCAGTTCAACTGGCCTCGAGCCGCACTTCCGTTGCCCACGATCTCCAGTCAACCTGAATTGCCAATCGATTTAAGTCCTCCCAGTTTACATGAAGCTGAGAAAGCTATAGGAAATCTAAGGGGAGGTAGAGCGGCAGGTCCCGATAGGCTTACCCCTGAGATGTTTAAGGTTGGTGGTCCAGTTTTAACGGTTAGACTGAACGAGATCATAGGTAGAATCTGGGAACTGGACGTAATCCCATCCGAGTGGTCTCAGTCGCTAATTGTCCCAATTTATAAGAAAGGACAAGAGTCCTCTTGTGACAATCACAGGGGAATAAGTTTAACTAATATAGTTTCTAAATTGTTAGCCTCGATTATACTTAGACGTCTAACTAGAGCTCGTGAAGAGAAGATTACAGGAAATGAGGATGGTTTTCGACCTGGACGTGGTTGTATAGACCACATCTTCACACTACGACAGGTCCTGGAACACAGACACACATTTAGACGTCCTACAATAGTTGTCTTCCTGGACCTTAAGGCGGCATTTGACTCAATGGATCGTGAGGTTCTGTGGCAGTGTCTGTTACTGAAAGGTGTACCATAGAAGTACAATAACCTTATACAAGCACTCTACTCGAACACCACTGGTCGGGTGAGAGCATATGGCGAACTGTCATCTGAATTCTCTACATCAAGTGGTGTCCGTCAGGGCTATGCACTCTCTCCATTCTTGTTTAACTTTGTCGTAAACATCCTCTTAGAGTTAACATTATCCTCGTCAGATTTTTCAGGGCTGACCTTCTACCAGGAAAATCGCTTACTGATCTAGAATATACCGATGACATAGTTCTATTCGGTGAAGACGCTGACAAGATGCAGAGTCTTCTGATTACCTTCAGTAACAATGCAAGCATGTTCGGGATGCGGTTTCCCACCCCCCGAAATTCAAAATGTGGTTTCAAGACTGGCTTGTACCGGCGCCTGAACTAGTGATATGGAGTGAAGTAGTCGAGCGTGTTGATCACTTCACTTATGTCGGGAGTCTCATCAGTGCTCATGGCCTGGTGAAAGCTGGGATACAGAAAGCTCGATTGGCTTTTGCCAACCTGCGTCATTTATGGCGTACGCGAGATATCCGTTTGCTAACCAAAGGTCAAATGTACTGGGCCGCAGTTCGCTCCGTTCTCCTATATGAATGCGAAACATGGTCGTTAAGAGTAGATATTCGTAGGTTACTAGTATTCGATCATAGGTGTCTCCGAAGCATTGCTCGTGTATCTTTGGAAAACTGAGTGAGCAATGCTATACTTAAGAAACAATTACTAGGTAAGAATGGCAGGTCAATAGATGAAGTTATGAAACTTCATCAGTTGAGGTGGTTGTGACATGTGTAGCGTATGCCTAACCATCGACCGCCTCGACGAGCTATGCTTTGTAGTTTAGGAGTAGCTTGGAAGAAAGTTACGGGCGGCCAGACCGAAAACATGGCACAAATCCATAAGGTCACTAACTGAGTTATGTTGGTAGATGTAGGCTACGTGTTTTGGGTCCGGGAGAAGTATTAGTAGTAATCAGAGAGTTTAGAGTTCGAAGGTATTATTCAAGAAGTACAATCTAGTGAAATAAACTTAAAAGAAAAAGATAAGGGTGATGATGATTTTAGAAGGTTAGGATTTGACGGAACATAAGGAATGAATGCACCTGAGCCACTGCAAACGGTTTTGAACCATATCATTCAGGGTCTCTGACCAACGATTACAACCACCTCGCAGGCCCCAAACCAGGTAGTCGATACCTACCAACATGACTAACATCAATCGTCTTACTAAGCACAAGTTGTATGCATTATAACCACCAAGAAAGCAGTGTCGATCTTACGTACGGATACTATTCGAAAGTTACCTATCCAGTTAAATAGGTTTCAACATAGAGAAAGATAAAGGTGATGAAGAATTCAGATTAAAATTCGGGAGAACACAATGAATGAATGCACCTGCACTATTGTAAACCATTTTGAGCCATGTCGTTCAAGGTCTCTAACCATCAGTTACTAGTGACTCACAGACTCCAACCAGGTAGTCTACATCTACCAACATGATTCAGTTCACTTGTTGGTGACTTTATAGACATGTGCCACGTTTTGGTTTATGTATGAAGTTGTACTTTGTAACTGACTATTAGGCGGTTGATAGCGCTATGATCTTTTATTGACTGATATAGAGCGCTTTAAGCATTCTTAAATATCTAAATTCATGTATTATGCGAGATCATAAATTAACATGACAATTCCCACTATATTATAAAGTTTTCTGGGTATTCGATGGTTGTAAATAAATAACGCCCGTATGAACGGCAGTACTGAGTAAGATTATTAACATGAATATCAGAGTGACTGTTCAAATGTAATTAATTTGAGGTGTAAATAACACAAAACTAACCTGAACTATTTTTCTAACTCTTGTCCGAGAAGTAGCCTCGTCACACAACACATGACATTCTTCGATAGCCGACTTAACAAGAGTTTGAAAACTCTGGGCAGAAGTCAACATCGGATGGTCAAAAAGTCCTAGATAAGCACGAATATTAGCACAATGTAGAAGATACCTGTAGTTTTATCCATCTGCCCATCGTTTGTTTTTAAACTATGGTAATTAAAAGCATCAGCTAATGGACTCAATTTGGCATGCGTAGCTAGAAATCGGTAACAAACGTAATTCGAACGTTGAAGTAACGGTAGGCGAAACCAAGCCATGAAGTTATTAGAAACGGGACAACTTTACGTAAGGAGGATCTTATGGCGATTTGAATTAAAAAGCAATGCTTTCAAATGCAGTCGACTTCCGACACATTTTATCACTGAGAAAAAAAATGGGAATATTAAGTAAAAGCACATTAATTGAGCCAGAGTATAATTTCCAAGAAGAATTTGTATACTTACGCCATATCAACTATGTATGCTTTACCAAGCAAATTAAGAAGACTGTTAAGAGTTTTGCATCCAGGTAACAGTATGATAGAAATCAAGAAACGCTAGAGTCAAGAAACAGTCGACAGAAAAAAGCGGTACTATATCATTGGAACAACATTTTTGATCGGAATAACCAACCCTCGTTTGCAGAAGTGTTCCTTGTAGGGAAAGGAAAAGGTTAAGTTTATATGCTAGGAGTCGGGCTAGTGTTATCAACTACACAGTTTTCGTTACCAACTGAGACGAGCCTTATGCGGAAAGACCAGGATTAGGTATTAAAAGTAAAGCCGTTGTTGTGATTTAGGTATACAAACTGAGATAGGAGTTTTCATCACGAAATACCAGCTTCGATCCAATGCTCTGTCACCCTTCTGTTAACAAACTTTAGATTTATAATAGTCAGAAAGGGCGGATGTTACCTAGTCTCACCAAATACGACTACGCGTTGAAACACAAGGAAACACATAATTTTCCTTAAGAGCAAATTATATCTTGCGAATCAGCTTCAGCACCATCTTAAATATAATTCTGCTTTCACAACTGAATTTTGTAACTTCAGTCCTTGGTAGGTTCTCATTTAGCCTGAAGGTACCTTGGGTTTCGAAGAAACCCAAGAAACCAAAACAAACGGAAAATAAAGGAAAACTCAGAGGAAATAAATGAGACACTTCATTGGAAGAATAAGGGAGGAATAAAGTGGAACACGCACCAAAAAGACGTGTTTTTCCATACAGTGAGATTTTTCTCATTTCTGAGGCTCTGAGTTTTCAATTTACGACTTTTTTCTTGAATTTACGCAGAATTTCCGACTCACTTAAGTGTGAGGAACGTATAAGACATTATCTCGTTGAGGAAATAACAAAAGAAGAAGTAAGCTGATGACTTAGTAAGCACTTACATTTAATCGGGAAAGCAATTTAAAAAAATCAGAAAAGGCGAAAACACGAGATTAAGACAAGACAGTGGAAACTTGCAATTAGTAGCGCAAGATTTCAAATAAGTTACAAGTGGTGAACATAATCAATTTCGTCTCGATCGCCACTACAACCTAAATAAGTCCTTAACCTACGTATTCTCGGTTCACTCAGGATCGTTAGTGCGTCGCACCTTGATATAAAAATTACCAGGTAATATATGTTTGCAGTTAATCACCTGTTACTCAAACGACTATCATCAATCAAACTTAGGTCGAAAACTTAGGGTGAAAAACAATGAGGAAGAACAGTATGACCATGTGATATAAAAGCTAATACAGACTATTCAGCCATAAATATCTGGTTTTGATACATTCATATGAACTTGAAAAAGAGTTTACTAAGTTTTGAGAAATACGACTGAGAACCCTGAAATTTCCTCCGGTGTGAGTAAAACGACGAATTTTTACATAACTTTGGGGAAAACCAAAATATTTTGCCACATTTTGGAATGAATTCATTTCAAGGTAAATGTATGCTACGCCTGTCCTGTGTTCAGAGTATTTTTGGACGAGTCACATTATTAATATTCTAATTTTTCTTTATGTTCGGGTATACCATTGACGACAGTGGATCAAGTTTCTTCATCTAACTATTCGTATCTTTAAACAGACCAAATCAGCCATTACTTGTGAAAAATGTTTTATACATTGTAACGTGCAGTGTTGTTTACAATCCGGATATTTTTTTGATATTTAGTCACAGTAAGCCAACAGGTAGTAGAAAGACCTGGCTTTTACAGCTTACAAAATAAGCCAAGGTTATAAACACGAACTTCAGAGGAGGGATCACTTTTCAGTGCATTTCTTACCTGGCTGTACAGTCATATATATTTATACGAAATTTTTCACTCGAGTATGTAGACTGCTAAGACAAAGTAAATAGGCCGTTACCAGTAATTGCTTTCACCCTACATACAAGAGCATATCCTCGCGTGGTCCAACAAGCGAGAGAGGAAGGCAGCTAAGACTTCTATTATCGGCTTTTTAATCCATTATAATCACTCCACCGGTCCACATGTCGATTTTAAGGTTGTGTAGACAGTTCTTACAAATCTATGTATACTTTGCATCTAGTTCTTTGAAACAGAAGCTCTTGTCGTCCATGAAATGAAACTAGGACTGACAGTAAAAAAATACATCACCTTATTTTGTCACAGTCCCAAACCAAATGTTTTAAGTTTTTAATCACTTAATACATACTTTCTCAGACTTACATTCCTAAATACTATATAGAAGCACCCAGCGGTTGATAACTAGATCATTAACATTTTGACTTTCCAATACACTACCTTGAACATAATAATCGACTGACAGTAACCGTTTTAGTTAATTACTATACACTTAGTCTCTAAAATCTTTCCTGTGCTCACGTTGACTGATTTCGTATTAGACTGGTTACTACCCTAGAAGTTATACACTTATATATTTGTTTAAATTAAACAAGGATTATTCCTACTCACTTTTTATTTATGACCAATAACTGAAGTAATAGAGAATTATCACCAACCTCTAAGCCGAACAAGAAGTCGAAATCAGCTAATTATATGCCAGATGAATTATTATGTGTAAGAGTCACACCTTCATCTAATGAATCCTGTACCGCTTATCCACAAGTTTTGCTATTACTAGCCGATACTCCATAAAATAACCCATCTCTGATTTGGTATCTCAACAATATTACTGGTAGATATAGGAAGTAATATAATAACATATACTGAGATGTCAACAGAGAATAAACATCACTATAATCATACGAAGCCAAAACCTAAAAATTCACAAATAAAGGCATCGAACGATCCATCCGAAACGGATCATAATCCTAACCATTATGGCAGTGTTATACGGCTGTTACAAAAGTCACTGGCCCAAAAACTAATGATAAACCTTATCACTTAGCACCCCTCATCCACATATAGTACTAAAATAATGATAAAAACCTCGAGGAACTAAATAACGCTGGGTGTATCTTAAAGTTTGCAGCTGGAGAAGTACAAAAAGAGTAATACATTCCTACATTGCTGCTCTTACTTTACCCTTGCAATAATGAATCAAATGTAGCAATCGCAGGCTATCGTCACCGACTTGGGATTCTATATAAGTCTCGAACTGTCTCATAAACTTCCAATACCCACGCGGTTGTCCATCGAAATAGTTTAACTCAACCCTGGGTAGTTCTAGACCTAAAACAGGTGCCATAGGTAGTACGTTCTTTCCAGATACTTCAAACTTATCATTTAAAATACGATTTTTAGTGCTCTCTAATAACGACCAAATACACTAAAATGATAATCGTCTCCATCTAAGAGTGAATCATTTGTCTGATAAGCCTTAAAAAGGCGCTTGTCTTATAATAGAGGATTCGTTTGTCTTCCTGGCTACCAACGGGACTTGAACTTGGATACTTTATACGAGAATTCATTGTAGTACCTGAAATCCAAGAAAAAGAAAAACTCCGATCTATTGATATTGTCTAAAGTTGTAGGATCCAGATTCCAACCGAATAGTATCGTTTAGCACATTGGAATCCAAAAACTCCGTTCACTTAAAATATTGTACACAATTAAAAGATCCAAAAACTCCAACCAATAAATATTGTTTAGAAATATCGATTCCATAATTCCAGTGGACCAATATTGTTTAGTATTGTTGAATCCAAACCGAGGTTTGGTTTAGGTATAACTGTTCAGGGAGTTTATATACGCGCCTTGCCCAGCTGAAATCCAAGAAGAGTGACCTGGGTAAGTAACGGTTCTATTATTAATCATAAATATAAATAACCATCATTACCTAAACAATATTATGACTTTTACTCCCTCAGTAATAACACAGTGTCTCTAATTCTGGAAGAATGTTCCAATTTCCGACCTAAATTGCACACTTCCAGTCCGAGTCCGTGTTTCAATCGCCAAAGGGACAAATTCAAAATGGCTGTCTCCATAATTAAGTATCGACTTGAGCAACGTAATGCAGGTCTGATGAAAACATGGAAACTAAAAAAAGGAACAAAATAGAAACTATAGCATAATACAAATATTAACATCCCGAAATGGAATTAAACAGATTACCGAAATGTAGAACTGAAAGAATCAATAAGGACATATTACAAACGTATACATGGAGGGAATTCCACCAACAAAAGCCTTCCAAAATGGATTATACAGTACACACGTAGGCAACTTGGAACAATTTCCAAAATGCAGTGGAAACGGCAGTGATATCTACTGACAAGTCAAATTATTAAGTTAGGGAGAAGCCATGGATCTCAGAAGCATTTCTTCAATTGATAGATGCTCGATAGCTCATTGCATCTAGATCCGAACATGACGAAGAGCGGGTTCGGTATATGCACAGGTTGATACAAACCGAACAGTGGTGGGTAGGGGAAGCGAGAGATGGAAAAGGCAGAGGCGATAGGTGATAGAAAGCAACTATTCGACCTTATCAGATAAACCCGAATCAGTAATCCGACTGAGAGACTATGTCGGAAAAAGATGGCCTTATCACTCACTCTCAATCCAGGAGATTGGATCAATGGTCAGAATACTTTAGGGATCAGTTCAACCTGTCTTCAGTCAAACTTAGTTTGCTCACGATCTCCGGTCAACCTGAGTGGCAAAAACATGTAAGTCCTCCGATCCTTAATGAAGTTGGAGTAGCTATAGGAAGTCTGAAGCGAGGGAGAGCAACATGGTCTGATAGGATTACTCTTGAGAACTTTAAGGATGTTGGTCCAGTTTAGGAGGCGAAATTGACCGAAATCTTAGGTAGAATCTGGGAACTGAGCATAATCCCATCTGACTGGTCTGAAATACTGATTGTATCAGTCTGGAAGACAGGACAAATGTCATCTTATGACAGTCACACAGGAATCAGTTTGACCAATATAGTTTCTAAGGTATTAGCTTCAATAAAACTCCTAGGCCGAACTAGGGACAGGCTCGAGAAAACCAGGCTACTTTTCGGTCCGGACGAGGCTGTTTAGACCGGATGTTCACACTACGGTTTTAGAATCCATTTTGAAAGCTTTGATTTGGGAAAACCCCTCCATGTATATATTTGTCATATGTTCTTACTGACTCCAGTGCTACATTTTGGTGGTCTGTTCAATCCGATTTTGGGATGTTAATATTTGTATTTTGTTGTAGTTCCTAATTTTTATCCCTTTATTGGAGTTTCTGTGTTCTCTGCTGAACTGTATTATGTTGGTTAAATGTATACTTAGTTATGGCTACAGCCACATCGGATTTGATACCCTGGCGGGTAAATGTACATCTGGACTGGAAGGGTGCAATTTTGGACCTAAACGGAAGGATTCTTCCAGAATTGGAAACACATTGTGTTAAATTTGACGGAGAAAAGTGTAATATTGTTTGGAACCGTTTCTTACCCAGATAAATTGCTTTTTATTTGGATGTCCGGGCAAGGCGCGTATCTAAACTTCTAGAACTGTTCTTCCGAATTCAGAAACCACTCTAAAGACTCACAACTTCCCATGTAGAGTGTAGAGTCATTGGTTATTTTGTAAATTGTTTCTTAAATAACCCTTATCAGCCAGGGGCTAACCTACACTCATACTCCTCCATAGCTGCGGCCTTGATTTGGTGGTCTGGTTTTCTTGCCACGATGACTCAACCAAGCTAGGTGGGGTAGAACATGTGTTTCTTTAGGTCCCACCATATCAGGCAGGTCGGTTAGAAAACAGTGATAGCAACGAGCAGCCACTCGAAGTCCTACTGAGAAGTTTTACTACTAGTTGTGGAGGCCTATAACAGCCGTAAGACATTTTTCTCGAACAAACAGCCTCTGCCGCTACAATTCTTACAACGGAACGTAGGGGTTGTAAAGTAATTATATTCCTCTCGCAGTCCGCTCTGAACCCGAAAGGTGTAGGTTCACATGCGTCCCGCCCAGTCCAAGTCCAAAAACGATAATTCTGGGAGAGAACGGTTCTGTATTTAATCAAAAAATGGAATTCAGACAATTACCAAAACAATATTACACCCTCGAATTTCCGATCACCACAACAGGTTCCGTTACTG